GGTAGTGTCAAATCGTAGAGCTTCAGGTCTTGAAGAACTGGTTTTGTTTTTAGTTTAAAGACGGGGAACTGATTTGTAGCCAGCCCTCCATTTTTGTTTGTTTTTAAAGCTTTCCTATGGTTCATTGAATGCAAGATGGATCCTTTTTCTAACTATTTTTGTGCCCCCAAATGGTTTAATTTTACAGTCATAATTAGATTACTATTTTTTTGCGTGTGCCCGCTCTTAGAAATAACAGTGAAAAGCTCGGCTAAAAGTGCTTTGGGAATATATTTTTTTGGCAACTTTTAAGGAAAGCATTTAAATAACTTTTTTTTTTTTTTCAAATACATGAAAAACACATGGATGGTACACAAGAGAAAGCGGTCCGAATGACTGGAATTCCCCAAGTGATTGATTAGCACATGTTAATATTATCAAATTTGTTTAAAACAAGTTGAGAAGAGAGCAAGGATAGATCAGATATAAAATAATTCGGGTTTAATTCTTTTTTTTTTAATTAAGAAATGAGAATCTTACTCTGTTTTTTTTTTTTTCTCTCTCTAATAACTTGTTATTTTATAATATTAATAGTAACAATATTTCAGGACCAACTTTCACGACCTCCTTTGTAGTCCAAACTTTATGATAACTTAATCAGGAATTTTATTATTATATTATAAGAAAAACCGTCACGGGACTTTCACAATAAAAGAGATTAACGCAAGGAAGTCTAGCAGGAAATTCCTCAATAAGATTATAAAAATCCACCCTTGACTCTCCCAACCCTCCATTGAATAAGATCCTTTCCTCTCTTCGCTCGGCTCAAACCTCCACTCTTGAAAATCTTCTAACTTCGTCAGCATCAATGGTTGCTCTCCCCACACCACCACCACCAACCACCATTCAAGGTGGAACCATCTCTACTCTACACCCTGACATCCTCCAAACCCATATCCTCACCCTCCTCGATGGCCCAACTCTAGCTGCTACAGCCTGTGCATCATCAGAATTGCATGCTCTCTCCACAGAAGAAAAACTCTGGCAAAAAATCTGCACTTCCACTTGGCCATCTATTAATGATCCGATTGTTAGAAGCATCATCCCCACCTTCCCTTCTGGCCACCGGTCATTTTTCTCGGACTCATATCCTCTCCTCCACCACAACCACCATAGCTCATCGTTTCCGACTACAAGCACTGAATGCTTTGTCTCAGCAGTTGATATTTACTACAAAAAAGTTCCAATTTTCTCGAAAGTTGAAACGACTGAGACCTTGTCTGATTGGTTCAAGAGCTCTCCCTTCAGGCTCGACTTACTCGAGCCCAAAGAGTTTGTGCAGACATGGATACAAAGCCAACAAAGTGAAAAGGAATTGTCCGTGGAGCAGCTTGAAGAGAATATAACGTTAAGTTGGATCTTGATCGATCCAAAAGGGAGAAGGGCCATGAATTTGTCAAGCGAGAGGCCGGTGTCAGTGCAGAGGCACTGGCTAACTGGCGAAGTGGTGGTGAAGTTTTCCATCATCATGGCCGGAGACGGGGGGGAGAAGGAGTATGTGGAGTGTGGAGTGATGGTTTGTTGTGGGGAGAAGGAAGGAGGGGAGGTGGAGGTGAGAGAGGTAAGTATGGTAATGGAGGATATGGAAGGGAAGAACTTGACTGGGAAGGATGGTTTGGTAATTTTGCAAGAGGCAATGGAGAGGGGGGAGAGGAGGAAAGGGAAAGGTGGCGAAGAAGGGAAAGGAAGGTACGAGGAATTTGTTGAGAGGAAGAAGGAGAGGAAAGAAAGGATGAAGAAATTGGAAAAGGCTCTGGACATGGCTTGCATTGCTACAGGGATTGCTGTTTTTGTGTCCTTTTGGACCTTCATTTTGTTTAGATAAAAAGAAGAAAAAGAGAGAGAGAGAGAGGAAAGGTAAAGTTTTTTATACATAGTAATGGTAATTAATGTTTATAACAAAGAAAATTAGAGGGAAGTAAAGAGAAATTGGGGAATATTGACTATTTAGTAGTATTTATCCATTCATTAATTATATTTGAAAGGAACAGAAAGAAGATAAAGCAACGGTCCAAGTGCTGTATAGGTTTGAACAAGGCATGCTACCTGTTGAATTATCAATTGGATTGGCTCTAAACAATTTCAAGTCAGTGAAGTTGTCTGTTTGATTTTTGACTTGGTGTCCTATTTCCAAACTTTGATTATCTATCTATTCACTGTGTCTTCTTGTGAATTTCCGGTGTTCTTATATGATGGCGGGCAGTTTATGCAGCACGAGAAAGTTGAAACAATAACAGATTAACGTATCCATCTTATAACTAGATAATTAATCATAATTCGTGTAAGAGATTGATATGACATCAAAAACTTTTCTTCATTTATCGAGTTAAAAATCTTAGACCAGACTAGTATTAAGAATATGAAAGAAGAAGAAGAAGAATTCTGTGGATACATTTCTTCATTAATGCATATCCACACAAGTCCCTTTTGAATCAAGTTTTTGGTACATCATATCCATGGGATTGCAAAAGCTTAAAGTGCTAAAAAAGAAAAAGAAAAAGAAACAGGGAGACCATTTTGCTAATTTTATTATATATCACGGCTGCTCTGCTGTTGTCATTTTTGTTTTCATTTCATCTTAGAGTGTTCTTGCACCACACATGAACACACACAGCTAATTATTGGCAGAAGAAAGGACGATGTCACAGCAGGCAAGAAGCCGGCCAGTAAGTTATGACAGTTGAGTGGTTTGAGAATTATTTATGCTGCACTACGACACGTAAGTTATAGCTATGCCGGCTTCTTGCCATCATTGCCTTTGTGGCCACTTTTGCTGCTCTGTGTTTTTTCTCCCCCCAATTCAATGAATCTGTTGCCAGCACCTTAAAGAATCGAGAGACGCATTTCGACAATATCTTGGGATATAAATGCGTGCGTTTAACATAAGAGCGATATAAATATTAAATAAATATGTTCTTAGAATAGTTTTAAAATGAATTTCTATTCTTTCAAATAAGAAAATATAGAAAGATATTAGTCTATTTATCTCTATTTCCGTCTCTTATGTTGCCTGTATACAAGCTTGTAAATGAAATTGTTTCTCTTTAATGCTTTCATGAAACAATTTCTCTAGCTGGGGCACTCTGTCCCGGACTTCTCAGGGCTAGAGCGGGACTCATTAATTCGACACCCCAGACACAGCAGCCTTAAACACAATTTGACAGTCTTTTGCCCGATCTCAATCTGGGCCATGTTCAGCCCATCTTCACTCCTCCACGTTCCCCAAGTAGAGAGTTTGTGGATAGCATTCTCTTCCGTGTCAAATCAAACCATTTTTGTATAAAAAAAAATATTTATTCTATAATAAAAAATATTTATTTTAATATTTTTAAATATAAATTTTTATTGTGTGAAAAATTAAGTAATAGTGGATAAACTATCTTATTTGGATTTCTAATATTATTATATAAATATTTAAAATATCAAAAGATAACATTTAAAGTTTTAAATTTGGAACTTAATATGAATAATTATATTGTTTCATGAATAGTTATACTGTTTGATGAAAAATCATATTATTTTATTAACAATTATTAAATTTGAAACTTAATATGAATAATTATATTATTTCATGAATAGTTATACTGTTTGATAAAAAATCATATTATTTTATTAACAATTATATTGTTTGATAAACAACTATAATATTTCATTAATAATCATATTGTTTGATGCATAATTATAGTGGTTCATCAACAATCATATTATTTGATGAACAATCATATTGTTTTATCGTTATGTTTTAAGTTTATAAAAATATGTTACTACAAAAAAAAAAATAACAACAAAAAATATATATATTTTTTTCTTGATTTTATCTTTTCATTCTTTTACAGATTTAAAAAACTTAATTATATCCTAAAAATATTATCTTTATCTAATACAAATAAATATTTTAAAAATAGTATTTTTACGCCTCTAAACCAATCCTCTATCTATTTTCATTCTAAACTTTAATAATACTTTATTTGTGCATCTCCTACGTGGCAACACGCCATTGATCCACAGCACATCCATGCAATCTTTCTCTTCCAGAAAAAAATCTCCTTCTCATACAGAACAAAGTCCTCTGACCCCGTCGATCACCACCACCACCGTTCGTTATCGGTACAGTTAAACCTTCCTCAGCAACAAAACTACTAAGGAATCATGGCAGCCACATTTGCTAGCTTATCAGCTGTTACAGGGTTGGGCAGTAGCTCACTTTCATCCCCTTCTCGGGCTTCTTCGCCAAAGAAAATCTGCCAGCTCAGGTACTTTCTTAAGCAATTTACTTCTAATTTCTTCAAGCTGAGAAGGTGAGTTTATCACACTGAAGGAAAGCATATCAATTTACTTCTAATTTAATATTTTCAGGATTTGTGAAATCTCCGGTGGCAGCTGGAAGCCCCTTGAGGCTAGCAGGTGCTCATGGAGGAAAGTTCATGTGGTAAGTGCTGAATGTTATAATAATCATGTTTTTTTTTTGAGATTTGAGATAATCATGCAGCTACTTTTTGAAAATTTGATCAATTAACTGTAATTAATGGCTGTTTAATTTGTTTTTCCTTAATTCTTCGTGTTAGCTTTGAGAGGGATTGGCTGCGCAAAGACCTGAATGTGATAGGGTTTGGATTGATAGGGTGGCTAGCACCATCAAGCATACCAGCAAACGGCGGCAAGAGCTTGAGTGGTCTCTTCTTTGAGAGCATTGGTACTGAGCTTGCTCACTTCCCTACACCTCCTCCCCTCACTTCCCAGTTTTGGTAAGCACATAATTAATTAAAAATCCTGCTTTGTCAAATGCTCACTCAAGGAGTTCTAATTAAGACTATAAGATAAGGTGCAAAGGGTTGATTTGAGTCTTAAAAATCGAGCAGGTTATGGCTGGTGACTTGGCACCTAGGGCTATTCATTTGCCTTACATTAGGGCAAATTGGCTTCAAGGGAAGGGCTGATGAGTACTTCTAAACTAAAGTACTAGCTAGCCTGCCTTTGCTTGTAATCTATATATGCATGATATATATATAGACACACACACACACACACACTTTTTTCTCTTCCTTGGTTATACGTACACTGTTTGTATGTATAATTAATGAATCATGCATCTAGCTAGCTAGCCATGATCCAATTGAAGGGTAAAAAAAAAAAAAAAAAAAGGAGCGGGCGAGGAATTGTTCCCATTTTTGTGTTGCATACATTATTGTTTGGGGGTAAAATATTGCTAAAAAGGAAAAAAAAAATGCATTAAGCCAAGGAAAACGCCTCTGTTTATCATGATAATTTAATCCAAATTTTCTGAATATCACTTGACATGAATAAATAGGTTTTTTTTATTGATTATCTTACTTATAAACAATAGATAAAATATAAATATTATCAAACTCGAATTGAAACACAATTCAAACTTGATCATAGATATATATTTGTATTATATAGATATATATATGTAAAATATCTATATTTTTTTTAATATAATATATATGCATCTCAATATTAATATAATATATGTATAATACTTATAATTTTGTTATTATGTTTGTGTGTGTATCACTATTTTATTTTTACATTGAATATATAATAAATAATATTTAAATAATAAATATCCAAATTAAAACTCAATAAGTAAGATTTGAATATCATTTTTTTTTCAAAATATATAATGAATAAAATATAGATATAATATAAAATTTATCCATAAATAGCCATCACCGTCGCTTCTGAAAATTATTAGCTATGCTCTTTTGACCATATCGAGTCATGAAAATGTTTAAATAATTAATTGTTATAGCTATTTCTTATCTTGCATAATTGTAACGTGCAAGTTCCATGGACTTAATTAGCTATGATAGATTGCTCTTTTTCTTTGAGAATATGCTTGCAATCTCGCCATACCTTTTATAGAATAAAAAAAAGATAAATCTTGAAATACGAAAATCCTGATCTCATAGAAGCCGACATATGACGCCGCGATTTGAGCCCAGAATGTGAAGTGGAGATTTGGGCACATTTATATATGATTAATGACCCTCCTGTAGGAGAATAACAAAATTATGAGAACATAATTCACGATATCAAAGTTATTCACCATATCAAAGTCATTTAAAATAAATAGAAAAGTGATGAAATAATACTTTATTAGTATATTTTTTATTAATAAATATTGGATAAAAAAATATATAGATATAATTTTTCATATATTCTTGAGTAGTTTGGGCCAATACATGTTAGTATCAAACATGACTTAATAAAAATACGGTGAGTCTGGTGTTAACCAGATCCATTCTTAAGTGAGCTTTATAGTGTATCAAACCTCGTCTTGAGTGAGTTTAAATATATCATAATTTATTATGTATCTATCTTTTAGTTATATAAAATAAGTAGGATATATCTTATAAATAACTAAAAATATCACAAAGATAAAGTTACATTGCATCTTTTTTCTCTACTAAAAGATAAAATTTATGAGTTATAAATACATTATGAGACATTTAAAATAAATGTTCATGATCTTCATTCTTTACTATATATATATATATATTTTCAGAGTATATTTCTCTATAATATTTAAAATTTTCTCTTTATATTAAGATATTTATTTAAGTATAAGAGTTACTATCTCTATCAAAAAAAAAAATTATTAGTATTAATTATAAGTCACGTTATTCTACTGGGTATCAAATATAAATTATCAATCATTTTGATTGTAATAAATAAATGAAATTACTAGAATTAATTAATTAATTGACTATTCAACCTTAAAATCTTATTCTTAAACTACTTAAATTTTTGGTACATCATCAATTATAAAACTCATTTTATTTTTAATTAATTTCAATACAAATATTTTTCCAAGCATGTGTGGGCGTCTGAATTAATTTATACCATGGCCACATGTAATGGTACTCATAACAATAGTTGATTATGTTTATAATATATTAATTAAATCAAGAAGACAAGAGGGTCATTATCTAAAATAAGGAAAGAAAGCACAAGAAACCATGTTATAATTATCTAGCCCGGAAAATACCAATTGAATGCAGCCAATACACGATATTACAAAGTTACTAAACCCCAATACAAACCCGTAGATTAACCCAAATTCATCCCGTTAAATCACAAAAACACTGTTTAAAAAAATTTAAAATTTAAAAATTAAATTTTGAATCATTTGAATTTTAAATTAATTTATTAGACCGGATTTAATAACAGTAACTGTGGATAATAATAAAAAATACTATTAATTTCGCCCCAGTTAATTCAGTCGGGAATATTAAAACAGGCAAACAAAATTATGACTGGCCAACGCATGAATGATTAAAGTAATATGTGTATTAACGTGGTTCAATAATCCTTGTCCACGTATTAATCCATGTAAAATCATAGGTCAAGAACACGACCGGACAATATGACAACTACTTATCATGTCTTAACTGGCACAGACATTTTTAATACTATATGGGTTAGTTTTCATTTATACACAGGTACTTCTCTTGATCTGCTTACTTCTAGAATGATTTAGCAGGAGATCGAATAATCCCACCCACAGAAGATTCTGTAGATTTTAAAAAAGAATCTTATGTTATACATCATAAGAACATAGAGAAACTTCCGAAATTAAAAAATAGAGATCATTTAATTTTTTTTTAAATCCCCCTTTGTATATATCCAAATTCAATCACCTTTAATATTTTAAACTTTCCTTTCTAGATATTGTAATTAAGAACATTAATTAAGGGTATCTTAGTGCAAGAGAGATTTTCTATAATTTAATGTAAAATGGGTTTTTGTTAAATATTTTTAAAACCTTTAGATGGTTCATCATCTAATTCCACAATATCTGATGAAAATTATTTTAATTGATCCTAAATCAAAATTTATCTCATTTATAAGAAGCTTTAATGGTATATATAAAATAAAATTTACTTTTGATTTTAAATAATTTATGAAATCAAAAAGGTATCAAATTCAAATTCTGATATATATCAAGATTTCAGAGAGTAGAAGCAGTACTATTCTCGTTACATGATTTAAAGATTTAATGAATCTTGAGAAACAAAAAAATAAAAATAAAAATAACTTTCTTAAAAAACACATAGTAAATGCTTGTAAAAAAGAAAAAGAAGAAGCTTTTAAACACAATTGTGTTCTTGATTAATTGTATCTTTAGATTTGTCCATGATTTGTTGTTATATTATAACACGTTTTGGCAAAAACATTTAGTATAATTATAAAAGATAAAAGAAAAAAAGGGATTGCTGTCGTGTTGTGAGTAATTACAAACGAACTCTAATTTCTTGTTAATATATTTATTTTTATTTCTTGGTTACAAGTGGAGGGTTAAACTAAATAACCCAAGTTTATTTAAAATATTATTATTTTAATTTTTTTAAATTAAACTAAATTCTGATATATGGGATGTATCAAATTCGAGTAGGTAAACTTTGATTTAATTTAACTTAAAACTTCATCCAAATTATTAGGTTAATAGCTCGACTGTAATTAATAACACTGCAAATTTATATGTAATGAGGAATCTCGAGGGCCACCATCACCATTCAATGAGAGATCAACTAACGATGCATCAGCTGATCTTGATCATGACTATAATGGATACCTGAACCACCTGATTTATTTTCTTTGGTAGAAAGATAGGGTCATTTTAATGCCCTTGGCAGGCAGTAAACTAGCTAGCTGGGTATACCTTTACTAAGAGACAAATGGTGGGGTGGCCCTCCCTCCGTCCAACAGGATCTGGGTGTCCTTTTGTCCCTAACCTTGAGTGCCGTTAGTGGGTCCTGATCACGTTCATGGCCCTCTCACCTCCCTTCCTCCATCGCACTGGTTCTTTGCTTTTCTTGACCGCATGATCAGATGGCAGTGGTACTCGTTTTTTACGATCAGTATTTGTCTTAATTTTCCTCAACAGAGAGGATACATATCAATGGATTTCTAATAAAATGCATGGTGGTCAGGTAGCAGCTTTCATGGAGGCAAAATTAAGCAGAAAACCTCCATTGATTGCAAGATGTCTTTTATCTTAAAGATTTTGATTTCCACAATTTCATCTCAGTACTTCCATCGAAATGGAACCATCCATGCATGTGGTTTGTCGATCAAATATGTATAGACAACGGGAAAATCAAGGGCAAAAACTTTAGTCGGAATGAGCTTTCTCCTCCCTCAGCACCCAACTCATTCATTGAGCTCTTAATTTGCTGTTCTTGGATTCGACTACATTGATTGAGGTACTGGCGCCGATTGAACGGTCTCTGGAATTATTGCTCTTGTACATTTTCCCATCTGTCATCTTTGTGTAGAAGCCCTTGCTTTAGTTTTAGTTTTAGTTTTTTTTAATTTCTCTATCCATACAACGTGACATGGTAGGGCTATGTTGTGGGATTGGAGGACAAGGTTGTATCCGATCATGTGTCTTCCCAGAGTCGCAAAGAAAATGTCAAAGGAAAAAATGAATTGATTTTCGGCATGATAATCTTATTTAATCAATCTTGCCGACTACTTCGATCTTCAAGATCAGGTGCTAAGCCCCTTAATGAAATATTTTTGTTGCTTGACATTGAAATTGTTCTCTCAATCAAAATTACTAAATGTTACCTCCTCCCATGGTTTGTTCAACGCGCGATTTATGGATCAAGACGATGTTATTTCAAGAAAAAAATAAAATAATAATATTTTAATTTAGTTATTTTTTAAACCAAATCAAATTTTGATTAGTTTAATTTCTACTTGTTTTTATTTTTTTTTAAAAATATCCCATTAAAAATTAAGTTATCTATTGATATGTTTGAATCAATCTTTTTTGAAAATACCCCATTACAAACTAAGTTATCTATTGATATGTTTGAATCAAAACAGTCACCTATCATCGTTTGTTTAAGAAACCCTACTTCAATTTCAATTCATTACGAGATGCAGCAATCAATCAGTTTCAAGCCACATTCAATTAACTTGAGCACAAATCTGACATTTCTTGATGCAAAACATGTATTATTGAAACAGATAGAAACACAACTGGCCAATGAACAAATAATTCCTTTTGTAGTCTTGTGGTTAAAGCTTTCCTTCTAAAGGCGCGGCCTGGAGAAGTTCTTTAACTTCCTTTAAACAACAAAGAGAACAATGGAGCAGCCGAAAGGCTTAATAATAACCTATCCCAAACCATATAATTAATTGGAGAGAAAGATTTAATATTTGAAAAACTTTATATACGTACCTCAAATTAATTGAAATATACACAATTCTTTCCAAATTTTGTTTATAAAATTCAATTTTCAAATTGTTCCATGACTCCATCTAATTCACACAATATTTTATGGTTGTAATCAATTTATTTAAACATATATTTTAATTAAAAAAAATTATAACTTATTCACAGAATATCTTTCGAGTAAGATATAAAAATAAAATTTCATAAATTTTATCTTTCATTATGTTTCAACAAACTTTTAATTTAGTTAAATCAATTTAATATCATGATATGATATATATAGTGGGAATTGATTTGAGTCCAAAATTCATGATCCTAATAAATCTATATATATACATGTATATTTTTAATTAAGAAAAATATACATATATCTAAAAGTAAAGTTTCATAAAATCTATCTTTCAAATTGTTTCAAACTACATTTAATTTAGTCAAATCAATTTTATAACATGAAATTCAATTCAGCTTGATTGGAGCCCTAAGTTCATCTAAATTTATGATTGGATATTAAAAGAATTTAGAACAATGTAAAAAATAAATAAATAAATAAAAACATTCCAGCACACAAACAAATACGAATGAACCTATTCAAGATCCTGACCGTTCATTCACAGATGTACGTCCCTGATTCACTAAACAAAAACGCTCACGTGTACTCCACGTCGTCTTCTTGTCCTCTTTTATCACCAAGACAAGACAGCAACACTAACGATACATGGTTCAAGTGTTTAACACCTGTCTTTGCCTTTTGTTTCCCCCTCAAGATCCATGAATCAAACCTCCTCTAAATTTCCTTCCAACAGCTAATAACATTCCATTTCTTGACAGTTTGTCCACGCCCCACTTTCCTTTCTTCCTTTTTAGGTTCTTGAATCCTTGATTTCCCACTTTTTCTTCCTTTTTTTGAGTGTTCTTTGAGGAATTCAAGGTAGTTGTAAGTTTGGACTTGCCAAAAAAGAGTGAACAAAGAGATGATGATGGGTCACTCTTATCAACTTTAACCTTCAAATCTCTAAAATCTTTTTGAGAGTTTGAAATCTCGTAGTAGTAGTAGTATAATTCTTGAGTTTTGTGCCACCACTTAGCTAGCTAGATCTTAACACTTTTTATTTTTCTCTTCTTGTTTTGTTTCTTCACAATCTTGAAAATCTTGAATCAACCATTATTCTTGCTTTTTGCTTGCTACATCAATGCCAAGAAACATGATCGTGTGTATTTTGCCTCATAAATATTCTAGAATCTCTCATTGAAACTCCAAATCTTTCAAATCTTTGAAAATCCCTGGAAAACATTTTTTGATGCTAGTGATTATCTTGTTCCAATCTTGAGAATGCTACTATTGGGTTATTAGTGATAATTTTTAAAGGCATTTTGCTGAACTGTTGGGATTGTGATATAATTTTATGGAGGCAAAAGGCAGAGAGCAGCAGCACTGCAAGGTAAGAAAGAGAGGGAATTCATCATCTTCATCATCTTCTTTAGTCCAAAAATACAGATTCAAGAGAGCAATTCTTGTTGGAAAAAGAGGTGGGTCTACGACTCCTGTCCCAACCTGGATGACAAGCTCAAAATCTCCAACCTTGGCAATGCTGAATGCTGAGTCCACCAAGTGCACACCACCTCAAAATGGAAGCAAAGCAAAAGAAGTCTCAGTTTCTGCAAGAAAATTAGCTGCCACTTTGTGGGAAATCAATGGAATGCCTTCTCCAAGAGTTAAGAAGAATCTGGAAGACAAGAATGAGTTTAGAAGCAGAGAAAAAGTTACGAGGTTGCCTCATTTATCAGATCCATCTTATACTCCTTTTTCAGAGGTGAGATATTCATAATTTTCTTTTTTCCTTTTTGGACTTCCATGTTTTCATGTGAAATTTACTAAAAAATATGATTTTTTTGGGGGTTATGCAGAGGATGGAGAAATCTAGAGGCCATAGTCATAGGACAAGAACATCAGCTGTTGCAAAAAGACTTCAGCTTACTGATTATCATCTTGGAGGTTTGGATTCTGCTAGCAGTGACAGTTTGATGGAGGTGGTATGTGAAAACTTTTGTTAGTGTTTGAGGTCATTTTCAAATAATTTTCCATGTCTCAAAAGCATATAACATGATTAGAATGGAACAGTATAAATGGTCCTGGTATATATTTTAATATAGTGGTACTTGGAAAAATGTCACAGAATTGACACTACAAACACCAAATTCAGTGCAGCTTTCAGCATTATTCTTATAAAGAAAACAAAAAGGTAGCTTTCAGCATTATTATCTTCGTGGGGAATAGTAATAATAATAATTATGATAATGACAACCATTAAGGATATTTATTTTTGAAGTCTACTAATTATGCAATTTTTGAGACTTATTCATCCAGAAAAAAAAAAAATCTTTCAAAGATTTTGGATTTGCAGAATTGCATTTCAAATCCTGGACCAAACATTTTCCAATTTATATGAGAGAAACAACTGATCCAATCTCTCAAAATGCAGATTGAAAGTCATCCGAAAGGCAAATCTCGCACAATTGGATTTAAAACCTGTTTGAAGGATGTTAGTGATGGGATAACCACTTCCAAAGAACTTTTGAAAGTTTTGAATCATGTTTGCGGCCTTGACGAGAAGCACCCATCAGGCTTATCTCTTGTCTCCGCCCTTCGGATTGAGCTTAATCGAGCCTGCATTTTGGTCAATCTATTGATCGAAGAACATCGATCAAACCACAATGAGATTGAGTACCTTATTAAGCATTTTGAGGAAGAGAAAGCAGCTTGGAAGAGCAAAGAGCGAGATAGGATTCGCAATGCAATAGCATGCATTGCGGAAGAGCTTGAAGTTGAGAGGAAACTACGAAGGCAAACAGAGAGATTGAATAAGAAGCTTGGGAAAGAATTGGCAGATACAAAGGTATCTCTATCAAAAGCAGTGAAAGAGCTTGAGAGTGAGAAGAGGGCGAAAGAAATATTGGAGCAAGTTTGTGATGAGTTGGCTAGAGGTATTGAAGAAGACAGAGCTGCGGTGGAAGAAATGAAAAAAGAATCTGCAAAGGTGAGGGAGGAGGTGGAGAAGGAAAGGGAAATGCTTCAGCTTGCTGATGTATTGCGTGAAGAAAGAGTCCAGATGAAGCTTTGTGAGGCCAAGTATCATTTTGAGGAGAAAAATGCAGCTGTGGAGAGGTTAAGAAATGAGCTTGAGACCTACTTGAAAGAAAAGGCAGGTGCAGAAAACGGTGATGGTTCTCCAAATTATGACAGGATTAAAGAGCTTGAGGCTTATTTAAAGGAAATCCAATTCGGAACATGTCAACAGGATGAGAGGGAAGAAAATGAAGGGGGTGCAATAGGAAACGGAGAAGTTCATGATGGAGATGATTCAGCTGACAGTGATCTTCATTCCATTGAATTAAACATGGACAATAACAGCAGAAGCTACAAATGGTGTTATGTTTCTGAAGGTGATGCTCCAGACAATCCAAAGTGGTTTTCAGGAGGTAAAGATTTCAAGGGAAGGAAGTCAATCTCCGATAATATTCAATGGGGAAACATCTGTTTGCAAACAAGAAATTCCAATGGTATTGATGGTCCTGATTGTGACTTAATCAATGAAAATCAGGGAAGTCTGAATATGCTCTATAGGGAAAGGTTATCTGATCTTAGCCTCCATTATCCAGTACAAGATCACGAAAATGAAATCAAGAAATATAAAATATGTCAAGACTCTTAAAGACCATTTATTATTTGGTTCTAAAAGATCATCGACACAGAACTTTTCCAGTCCGACTCCCGTGTGGTGGAAATCCTTGCCTCTTCAGGAGGCTGGCAGTGTAGTTTCAGATGATAGTTCACCTGTGATACAAGAGGATAATTTGAAGCCCAGGATAGCATGAATCAGACGTGATCGTTGAATTTCAACAAGCTCCAGACATTAAACTAGTTCTAAATTATGTTTTCTTTTTTCTTTTCCCTGCAGAAAAGCAATGCTTGCACTTTCTTGTTCAAGCCTTCCCACTGTCAAATTCATTTGCATCAGTCAACTTCTAAAAGCGAAAATGTAAATACAAATCATTTACAAGCTATATGGATCTGAGATTACTTGTCAACCAATACTTAAGTTTCGCAGTATGTATCCTTATTTTGCCAGTGTGGAACAAGCAAATTATATTTTGTAAGTAAAGCAATTGCAGCAATTGCTCAGAAGATCAGTCCATGAAAATAGAACAAACAGAAGTCTGCTTTGAACAATTTTTTTTTTTTTTTATCTATGAAGTCTGATGGAGAATTCAAGGGAAGAGAAGTTGACATAGCAGATATATTCAGGAAGAGAAATGCGTTGGTATTTCCTTATCTGCCACTATAATTTTCTATTAAAATGCAGCCATGTGAGATGCTTAGATACCTTAAAAGTCATTTGCCTTTTTGGTTGAATAATGACATCTACCCGAACGTCATACTAACATGATGGAGACAGCCAAACTTTGAGTATAATTATTATTGATCTTCATGATGTTTGAGATGAAGTCAGTTTCAGGGACCATAAATACTTGTAACATGTTTGGTAAATTTTCTGACACCGTCAAGTCACTGTTCTGGCTCCCCTCCATCATAGTTACCACCACATGCAAATTAACTCTTTCAAGCTAGGTCCTTGTATTGATGCAGGAAATATGGTCTCTAGGCAGCATAGAAGATGAGGCTGGAAAAAATTTCCAATCTCTTGCCATATACCATTCACTCGGTTACATGGAGATTAATTTCCAAATCCCCTGTCCACATGCATTTCATGGATTGAACAAAGCTTGACTAAATAAGAAAGAAAAACCAGGAAGGGTATTCCAAGTTTCATGATGCTCCATACATCTTCCATGGATTCTCTCCATCACCCTTCCATGACTTGAATCCTTGAGATGAACCACAAGATGAATGTGTGGGGTTAGAACAACAAAAGGGCATTGCCTAAACCTCATCTCTCAGAATTTCCCCATCCCCACAACCCAGAAAACTATTCCTCCATTTAAGAAAACTCGTACTCCTTATTTATTTTTCTATATATTTCCATCACGACCAAAGTTTCAACTTGATCTTCTTGTCTATGGTTAAATGATGGCTGAACCCGGTGTCAAGAGGACTGACAATTCTGACCAATTTGCTCAAGCTTATACCTTCTTTGCTTGGTGAGATGGTGGCTGCGAGGCGCTACCATCCTCATCGTCAGGAAAGTTCTACTCCCTTACAGGTTCTGTTTGCTGCATTGTTTTGTTAGGATTTACACAAGGACTTGAACCAAGTCCTCGAAGAGGGATCAAGGAGAAGTAGACACTAAAGGGAAGAAAAGTTTATTGAAACTGTAAAATTGTTTCTTTGTTTTTGTACTTGATGTCTGATTTCTCCTACTTATCAATTCACATGTGCATGTATTCAAGTGACAAAGTATTGTCCAATTATCAAACCAATAAATACGGTCATCAATAGGCAACATCATGAAACTTATCAACTCGGCTGTGCCTGATTCATGAAACATTGGATCTTCTTTAGTTTTACGCTCTTGTCAGATCCAGAAAACTAAATAGATCACCGAATCATTTTTAAGATAAAAGGTTCAATATTTTTATTAAACCGCTATTGTTTTATTTTTTAATCATTTAAAAATTCTTGATATAAATTTATATAACTGGATTTGAAATTGGTCTCGTAAAACTCAACTGAATAAACTAGGTGATATGGATCAAGATATAATATGTTGTCTGATATAACTAAGAACTAAATCCAAGTTAGACATCAAGTCTCGGATTTAATTTCTAGAAACAACTATGTCCTTATCTTTTTTTTTTTAATGAATATAATCTTTCCTTTGTTTCCAAGTAAAAAAAAAAAAAAGAAGAGTTAATTTATTTTTCTATCATTTTCTTTCCTTTTATTTCCAATCCATTTAAATATGGGTGTATCACAAATCAATATTTGAAAAGTTATAATTTTAGAAGGATGAACAACGGGTCCCAATGAACAATAAGATGGAATTCATACCGAAGTAGAATTATTGAAGAGAATAACTCTCCTGCAATCAACCAGCCAGATTAGAGTAATTTTAAAGATTCAAGAACTACAAATTAAAAATGCTTAGCTTCTTACCAATGATGTCTTAAAAAATCTAAGTATTATAAAAACAAGGTTTGTCAAAAAAGATCTAATAATCTCTTGGGCTAGGCTAATATCAGACCCAATATGCCTAAACTTAAAGTATTGCTAAGCCTAATCATAACTAAATTTGTCTCGTATATCTCCACTCAACGCATATCTTCACTAGGTTAATTTGGTTTTATTTTTATATTTGTACTTTGCATTTTTTTTTTCATTTGTCAATCCTTTATTTTTAACTTTGTCTTTGATTAGCTTCCAGAGTAGAAGAAGAGACAAACATATTTGGTTGGAGAAGAAGACAGAGACATGAGCAATTTTGAAGCAAATTTCTATAATTTTAAAATAAAAAAAAGGACATGGAACATGTCCCTTTTTATTTCCATTCTCCCCATCTCTTCTGTCTCTGTCTCTAGAGAATATCCAAAAGATCTCTGTCAGAAATTTAGGGGACATAAATCTGATGACTGAGGAAAGAACTAATTAAAATTTCAAGGACCTTTGGAACAACAATAACAATCTGAACACAAGTGCTCGACCATAAGAATTTTAAATTAATTGGAGAGCAGCATTAAAGGGAAGAATTTATAGACATTATATGACTCTAAGCTCCAGCACTCTAACAGCCATAAGTCCATAATATACTTTTACAGTAGAGATTGTCGAATATGGAACAGGACACATAAAACTGACCTTAATGATCCTATTGGTTTATTAGCGAGGCCACTTCATCTTCTTCATTCTGCAAGGTAAGCTTTATAGCTTGCGAGTGAGAACATAGCCACCCATGAGAACCTTCATTTTTTGCAGATACTGATGTAAACAGAACTGCATTTGTTGGATGGTCCCTCACAGTCAAGCTGAGAACTTCAGGTCTTGAGTAATGTCCAACCACAACTAAGTCAAATTTTGCCTGAGCTATTTCTCCAAGATCTGGCCATGAATTTGATAGTTGTCAATATCAGAGTTCTTCTGCCAAAATGAAAGCACAACTACAGCAATCCAGTTTCCCGACATCATATGCTCTGATCATGTGACAGCAATGTAGTTTTAGAAAATAAGAAAATAGGGATAACATTAATCATAACTGGCCAAAGGACATTTATATAGTTTACTACACAACCGGTATGGACACATGTAGAACTGGAGAGAAGTCTCTGACACATCAGATCATACTTTTTACGAGTGGGTTGAGGTTTGAGCATTATGAATCTTACAGTTGAAATTTGCATGATTTTCTTTCGGGATGTATTTTTTCTTGACATTTTTTTTTTAGATTAACGTGGGTGTCCGGGCCAGCTTGCGCGCACCACGACTAATCCCACGGGCCCTGAAGTTAACGACCATGTAAGCCTCCAATGGCCATCATATGAGCAACCAAGGACTCGAATCTGAGACCACAGAGGGAGCAAACCCCTTGATCCCAAGTCGTTACCACTTGGCTACCATCTAGATAGTTTTTTTTTTTTTACTGCATCTTTCATCCCAAACACGCATGCACTTTCATCTTTTAGATTTAAGAAATTGCAAGTTTTAACATCAGTACCAACCTTTCTACAGTACAATAAACAAAATTTGTGATGGAAGATTGTGGGAATACAAGATGATTATTGCTAATGTCTTCCTGGTGTCACCTTTTGGTGATCAGAAACCTATTGTAGTAATTGCTTAGACTTGATTTCTTGAAGTCTTGAATTATATATGATTTGTCAATTCTCCTTGGAAAACAACAGAAACTACTCTCTTTGGCAAGCATGATACAGTATAAAGTTTACACAGCACATAGAAGCATAAAAGCTTAAGAAGAAACTGACAGTGAAAATACCTAGATCTGAAGAGATCAGTGCCTCCCCATCACAATTTGGTCCAGCCAAAACAGTTCCTGATGGTGATATAATGACAATGCCTCAAGCACAGACAACAGAATCAGGTGTGAGGTCTTCTTCCACGCCTGTAAAGACATACTCTGGGGGAGATGGGTAATCTTTCCTCCGGCAAAACTGGTTGGCAGATAGTACCAAACATCCTCCCTCAACAGCAACGTGGGTCATCGTTGCTTGCCAGGTATCCCTGGAATCAGCTGCTGGTGCACAATATATTTCAACACCTAAAGGAAAAGGTATAAGATGAGGTCAAAATAGAGAATCGAAGAAGCAATCCGATTCAATCAAACAATAATTTGAAATATATCACATTGACACTAGTGATACACCAGTCAAGCAATGCAAGTACGTAATGCATCAAACCAGAAATATCTTTCAATGACCTTCAATCATTGCATGGGGATTTCATATCCCTTAATAGTTCATGTCTGAACAGAATGAGGACGTGGAGAGACTCCACTGCAATATCCAAGTTGACATTTATGATTCTAGAGTCTGAGCACAACTCTGAATTAGCTCCTTTAATTGAGCTGATCTAGCAAAGTGCGTGTTGAGAAAAACTCATAGCTCAAATAAAAGTTGGAACAGAACACAACTCAATGACACAGGAACACACGCAAACAAACACCCATTCCCTAATGTCAAGCTAAATTGTCATTCCAAGCAGTATAAGGAACATAAACAAGTGTTGCCGTTATGATGGCTATTTCAAGACTGTTATGGTGATTTCGGAAATACAATTTTGCCAAAATAACTCACCTTCACAAAACATTGCTGTCCTTGGGAGTGGCATTCTATTTTCCCAACAAATAGCAGCACCAATTTTCCCAACCGGAGTCTCAAAAACCGGAATCATTGATCCATCTCCAAATCCCCACACTATACGCTCCACCGCCGTTGGCATAACTTTTCGATGCTTCCTCAAGCCATTCAATCAACAACAACAAAGAGCACAAAAAGAAAAAGTCTTAGGCGCAGTCTTTCTTATCAGGAACACCAATGGCTGAAGCATGATACTTCCTGAAATCCTCTCTGCCTTTAGCTGTACGACTACCAATAGCAGCAACAAAACTTGATCCTCTAGGATAACCACCAATAAATGCTTCAGGAAACACAACCAATTAAGAACCAAAACCGGCTGCCTCAGCCAGCAATCTCTCAGCCTTATCTTTACACACAAGAATCAGAAACTAGAACACGATTACAAACAAAAGAAAGTTTCCTTTTCTTCTGGGGCATAAAGAATTCAAGTACCTAGAGTGGCAGGAGTATAATAGAAGACAGTGGTGGCTTAAACAACAGTGGCACGGCCAGTCGGTGCTGAAGAGTCGGAATCCACGTCTACCTCTGCAAAAAGTGGGCTTTCTGATGGTGGGACAGTAGGGACAAGAGCCATGTTTATGGTCTGAGCGGAGAGTGTTTGGTCTGTTGCCGTACTTGCTGTCTGAGAATTGTCTACTCAAGCCTCACAATGTCTCTGCCTTTCTTTTGGGTTTTTTTCTTGATTCTTCTTTATTATACACGCAGATCGGATAGACTGATACTAGTTGAATAAAAAAGTTACAACTAAAAAAAATAAATCAATGTTTTATTATTTTTTAAAAATAAAAATCAAATTAGTTTTAAATCATGTAATGAAATGACCAATCCTGTCAAAAATTTAATCCAAGGTAAATTGTAGATCAATAAGTAATTAAATTAATTCATCAACCGGGTTTGATTTTTAAACAAATTTATATGTGGTTTATTGGTTCTTTACAAATTTTTATTTGGAAAGTTTTGTAATCACAAAAAGTTTTGTCAAATTTTCTTTGATGCGACGAATTGCAATTTTTTTAAGTTGTATTATGGTGATGTATTTATTAGATTTATTTATTTCGTAATAAAAATCCCTCCTGGCAGTGCTTATTTTTGTTGTTAATGTACTTGATCACGTATTAATAGTAATAATAACAAAAGATAAGACGGCAGTTTATTTCAAATAACTTTGCAGTTCTTAATGGTAAAATTAATGAAATTTAAATAATTTTATTAATTTATCCCATTTAAACCTACCAAAATACTAGTAAAGAACCCCATCTACGAAACAGGGTCTCATAATTATGAAATAAGATTTAAAATACTTTGTTTTGGAAATCAACTCCATAATAATTACGAGTTGCATGGTTACCGTTTTGGCTCCCATCTATGAAACAGAGTTTCAATGACGTAGGGTTCATCCTCCGGCCACCCGGGGGCTTTCATCCATAAATAAATCCCATCATCTCTTACTATCCAAAGGGCTTCCTCGTTCACCGCCCAGGCGGACAGATCAAGGCCACCATGCTTCCCGGCATTCGAGAACGACCAGAACACATCCAAAGAAGCATGGGATTTCTTGTCCTTGGACATATTGCACCAGAATAATGTGGTCCTGAAGAAGTTTACCCTGAAACTAAACTTGAATTCATCCCTGGGCTTGATATATTGGGGGCCAAGATCGTCATCCCCTGACTTGCAGTGCGCAAACAACACCTTCTTGTGGCTCAGTCGATTGGCAATACGTACAGTCCAGGCAGTAGAGGGAGTTATGGCTATTGCCAGGAGAAGGAAAATTGCTTTGACGTGGAGGGAACCCATTATCTTGGCATATCACAACTTTCCCTTTTCTTTCTTTAATTTATCCCCTTCAGCATGGTGAAGAGAGCTAGAGAAACCATTGATCTCTTCTTGAGCAAATTACTACAAACAAATGCATGCATGTATATAATTACAGGCACTGTTATGCGTTAACACTGCCATTTCGGTTTTGCTTCATTAATGGCCAATTAATTCTCTTTCTGTTTTTTTTTTTGGCAATGCTTAATATTGTTTTCTTTTCTTTACTGGCAATAAGTTTCTAGATAATATCAGGTTTTTTTTTTTTATCTCAACATGATTAATGTATTAATTAAATCTTATTTATTCCACAAATTTGTAATTTTTTCTAATTATTATCATGTGGCTTTCTTGAAATATAGCATGATAGTATAACAATATTAAAAAAAATCATAATAATATTTAAAAGTGATATATTATTTATTAAGTTGAAAAATATCGTACAACTTAAAATATTATAAATAGTTATATATTTAAAAGAAGTGTTGGAATCAGTGTTAATTAAAAAAAAAAACATTGCCGTGAAAATATAATTATTTCTATTTTTTTTAGATGTTTTATCATCTATTTTTTTATCATATAATAATAAGTATATTATATTTATATTTTTATTGTTGAAATTGCTTATTACTTGTATAAAAAAAATTATTTGTGATTTTATAATTTTACTATCCAAATTTATATTATATTTTTTATATTAGAAAAAATATTTTTAACAACATCGTCACAGTGATTTTTCATATACTTGAATTGAATGTATGAATTAAGAGGATTTGATTTTGACCACGAATTGATTTAGACTATTTAATTATGTTTGGATTCATGAATATGAATGTGTCGATTCATCTAATCCAGAGGGCCCAATAAGAATTCTACAATTATGATGACTCATTAATTATGTGAGCCAAGTTATTTAGAAACTCCCTCCTGTATATAATTATTTTTCCAATTACTGTTATATAACATATTTTTATATAAAATTCTTAAAAATAATTATTTGTGGTAGTTATTATTTTTCATGGAAGTCTAATTATTTAAATTTAATACTTAAAGATCTAGTAATCAATTTCTATATATAAAAAGATTAAGTATAGTTTGTTTTTAAATTATTTTAATTAAAGTTTTGTGGTGTTTAGAACGTAATCAGTGATATATTATTATTTATTCTATCTTTGATATTGCACGGCCTGAAATCTTTAAAATTAAAGGAAAAATTGGAATTTTATTTTATTTTATAAGGGATATTATTAACTTTATTTATTCTTTACAAAATAAAATTAAAATATTATAATTTTTTTTGTTTGATTGCTTTCTTGTTAACCGTTTTGTTGAGCTGATTTTTTTTTTCATGCATTTTTGTGATGGTTATTTCTCATAGGTTTTTGGAATCCGTTATTCAGAATTGATAAAATTATCATTACAATTAAAAAAATTGAGGTGGAAAATTAATATTGTTAATTAATATGAATAGTTAACCACCTCAACTTTTTTAATTCCATCTTCCCGGTGTTGGGAAACAAATCCAATGCTCGGTTGATATTGGTTTGGCAAATTCAAATTCAATTTTATAGTTTTTCTTTACTAAATCCTTGAGTTATTGGCTAAATTAACACATATTAATTATTCTTGAGTTGAAAAACTTTTATTCTGAAGAACATGTGCATGCATGGTTACCTCTTTGATTGCCATCTAAGATACAGAATTTCATCAATGTAGTCGTTTTTAAATGCATCCCCCCCGGGATCTCTTATCTTTAAATAAATCCCATCATCTCTTATTACCCAGACGGCTTTCTCGTTCACAGTCCAGGTGGACAGATGATCAATGCCGCCATGCTTCTTGGCATCCCCACTCGGCCAGAACACGTCGAAGGAAGCTTGAGATTTTCTGTCCTTCGACATGTAGCACCAGAATAATGTGGTCCTGAACAAGTTTACCCCGAAACTAAACTTGAATTCATCCCTGTGCTTGATATACCGGGGGCCAAGATCGTCGTCCCCAGACCTGCAGTGCGCAAACAACACCTTCTTGTGGCTCAGTCGATTTAGAATACGTACAGTCCAGGCAGTAGAGGGAGTTATGGCTATTGCCAGGAGAAGGAAAATTGCTTTGATGTGGAGGGAACCCATTGCCTTAGCACATTAAACCTTTTTCTTTCCTTTTTCTTTAATTTGGGAACTACAGAAATTAAGTACTGCTGATTCCTCCTTGAACGAATTAATACAAAGAAATGGATGCATGCATGCATATATATATATATGATCACAAGCATTAATGTTATGCGTTAATATTGTCATTTCGGTTGATTAATAGCCAATTAATTCTCTCTGTTTTTTTTTTTTTTTTTTTGGGGGGGGGGATATTTAATGTTTCTTTTCTTTTATTTATTGGCAACAAGTTTCTACGATCTCAACATGAGTGGTTTATTAATTGCATTTTATTCAGTCCAATAAAATTATATTTTATTGAAATCATTATTATGTGGCCAAGGATGGTTCTTTTCTTCAATTTTTTTTTGTCGATGTACATACTTTAATTGAATACATGATTCGATTGCCAAAATTTTGTATTTAATTTAATTCTCAATGATTTAAGAGCATTTGACCACGAATGCATTTAGAATATTAATAAAGTATGTTTGGATTGATGAACACGTACGTACGAAAAGGTGTTCGAATCATGTAATCTGGAGGGAAGAGTCAGGATTCTACAATATATATATATCATGATCACTCGTTAATGTGAGCCAAGTTATTTAAAATCTAATTTTAATTATTATATAAATTTATTTCAATATATTCTTTATTGTAAAAATATATTTTAAATTACTTTTGTTATAACAATACAATTTTTTAGCATCATATATATATCAACAAGTTTATTTTATTTGTTCGAGACGCTAACATGTGAATAATTATAATTAACATAGTAAATGAAGTGATAATTAATATTTTCACACGTACTAATTTATTTTAAAGAAAAATAAATAAATTAACTTTTGAACACTTAAAACCGTATCTCGTTTTTTTTCATAAGAGACATGCAACCGAGTAAAAAACTAAAACTTTTATATGTTGAGTTGCCTCAGCTTCTGCAAACCGAGTCAGAGAAACATAGGCGTGCCACGTGACAAATACGGTCCGTACAAAAGCCTCAACAAGCCTTCCACACTGGTCTGGCCAGAGACGAGATTCCTCTGCTGGACACGCAAAAAGCCCAGAGAAAGCAAAGCAAGGCACCATATTCATGGTTAATACCAATCAACAAGTCAAAAAAGCAAAGCAAAGAATCCCCAGATTCTGCAGCTAAGCTGTTCTATATTTCCCATCTCTCTTTCTCAAACCATAATTAAGACAACATATAGGTACAGGAGTACGTAATACTACTTTGTTATTGTTATTAATTTCTCAGAGAGTTGTGTACGTACGTTGACGAGGAGGATGGCTTCAGGGGAGGTGTCTCGAGAGACGCAGATGTCCATTGAAGCTACGTCTATGTTTCCTGGCTTTAGGTTTTCACCAACAGATGTAGAGTTGATTTCTTATTATCTGAAACTGAAGATTGAGGGAGCTGAGAAATGTGTTGAAGTTATTTCTGAGATTGAAATTTGTAAACACGAGCCTTGGGATTTGCCAGGTTTTTCACTTTACGACTATTCTTAGCTTTAAAAAAAATAAAAATAAAGGCTAGTTCTTTCTGTATTCCTGTATTAGATTAAAAAAAAATCCCAAAATGAAATCCTTTCTTTTAATTTAAATCAAAATGAAGTTTCAATTGAACAGTTTAATCTATTTTACTTTATCCAACCCATAACTTGACCAGATTATGGACGAGTTGTGTTTAATTTATATTTTATAACTCCTTGATCATTATTTTTATTTTAAAAGTATTTGAAAATCAAAATTAAGTTTTGATTGATGCATTAGGAAAATTTATAAATATTTTTATACGTCGTTCCAAGATTTGAAGTCATTTCTTATGGTGTTTTAAGTTGAGTTGCGTTGAATGAAAGGATTTTATTTTACTTTTTTGGTATTTTGCACAAGATACATGAACTGCATCTGTCTGTGTTCGTACTGTGTAATCGTATCCTTCGTCAAACAGCAAGCATGATAAATCATGTAAAGATCGATAAAATAGTAAAGTAACCAATATTATTATTATTATTATCATTTAGGCGCTGGTTAATTCTGATTATTTTAAACCAGCGAAATCTGTCATCCAATCGGAGAATGAGTGGTTCTTCTTTTCGGCTCGTGGAAGAAAATACCCGAATGGGTCACAGAGTAAGAGGGCAACTGAACTTGGTTACTGGAAAGCAACTGGCAAGGAACGTAACGTGAAGTCAGGTTCTGATGTGATTGGTACCAAGAGGACTCTTGTGTTCCACGTAGGTCGTGCGCCGAAAGGGGAAAGAACAGAGTGGATTATGCATGAATATTGTATGCAAGGACAATCCCAGGTGATGATTTGTGCTGACATTTTTCTGAGTTGTTCTGCAAGCTTTTATTGAAATTGAGGTTTAAATTAGAGAAAAATGTTGGCATAGATGACTCTTATAATATGAAATCATGCCTTCAACTGCTAGTTGTGAAATGTTTGATTAGCTTCCCCATTATTAACCAAATGTTGATGCAGTGCCTCTGTGTGCGGATCATGCGAAGCCACACATCTTTCTCTCCATATAGAAGATAACTTTTCTGATAGTAATAGGTATATTTTCTGATTGATCTGAAGTAAGATTTGGTTGCTAGTGGAGAATTTAATTAAGGTGCTGGCATACCTCTCAGGATTTCTTAGGAGTGATTATGTCATAATCATTGTCATTAAACATGTTTCAGATGAAAGGATTAGTGTCATACATGACCATTCCTCAATTATAGAGCCCTCCTGAATTAGGTTTTGCGAACAAATGTTTTCGAGCTGCTAAACATCATCATTAGTCTCACAATTTTAGAAGATCAATAGTTTCCTTGAGGGAATGTTAGCTGGTGCTCCACTGATTTATTGTCAGTAGTTCAGTATGGGTTATGTGTGAGTTTGTCAATTATGGCCCTTTACATCGAAGGGCCTTTTCATATTCTAGTTTGGATGTTCGAACTCACCTGAAAGGCAGCCAGACATGAAATTGATTGTTAGGTGTTTTGCTGGATCATCTATGAGAGCAGAAATTTGAATTTCTTGTTTGAGCTCAGGATGGCATTTGTTTATTATTGTTGTTGTTGTTGTTGTTCTTATTATTATTATTATTATAATACATATGATTACGATGGTATCTAATAAGAGACATAAATATTTCTGTCATTTGCATTTGCTGGGATAAATATTGGGGACTGTAATATTTCTTTGTTCTTGATTGATTTCCAGTTGAAAAATCAGCTGTAGGCTTTCAAACTGTTGTTTGGTTTGAGTGATTACATGCTGCAGATGTAATTTGATGAGAATATTCTTCATTCGGTGGACAAGCATCTGTTTATTGTAAGATGATAAGGTTTATATTTGAATTTACTCGCATATTGCAGGATTCTTTAGTCGTTTGCCGCCTGCGGAAGAATGCCGAGTTCCGTCCCAATGACACTTCAAACAGGGGTGATGTAAATGAAAGGCATTTGTCAACCACGCATAATAGTAGTAATGCCGTTTCTGATGGTGGTATTGATCAGGGGGGGGTACCTGCAAGTGAGAATGCTGCTGAATGCTCGAAGAGCTGTGAATCTTACTCTATTGAGCAGCTTTCTTCAGCGTCCGAATCTGAACTGAAATTATCAAATGATGTTGCCTTGGCAGGGTCTTCCAGCCACCAGAAGGTCTGATTATTTATTTATTCCTTTTCAATCCCGTGGTACGTAATTTGATTTCTCTGCGACAATTAGTAATTTTTTTTTATTCATGCTGTTCTTGAATTCCAGGATTCTGACAACGAAGAGGATTTTTATGCTGACATAATGAAGGATGATATTATTAAACTCGATGAAACTCCATTTTGTGCCCCTTCTGGGCTTCGTTCACTGGTTGCGAGCAAGTCTGAGGCTGAAACAAGACCTAAACAGCCGGTCGAAATGTTTATGTCTGAGGCACTTCCTTTACGCTCAATTCTTTCGCAAGGAACATCAAATCAGCCAGTCCAAATATTTATGTCGGAGGCACTTCCTTTACGCCCAGTTCCTTCGCAAGGAACTGAAAATCAGCCAGTCGAGATGTTTATGTCGGAGGCACTTCCCTTATCCTCAATTTCTTCGCAAGGAACTGAAAATCAGCCGGTTGAGATGTTTATGTCGGAGGCACTTCGCTTATCCTCAATTTCTTCGCAAGGAACTGAAAATCAGCCAGTCGAGATGTTTATGTCGGAGGCAATTCCTTTACACTCAATCCTAGGAACAGAAAATCAGCCAGCCGAGATATTTATGTCGGAGGCACTTCCTTCACCCTCAATTTATTCGCAAGGAACAGCAAACCGAAGAATCAAGCTGAGGAGGCAAATGCCTGGTATGTCTCAAGCAGAGATGCATGTTAATAATGTAGCTGAGGAAAGTAAGTTGCCATGCTCAAAGGAGCCTCCAAACCGTGTGCTTAGTTTACTCTCTGCAAAGACGGGCAAGCTTCGACATATTTCTATAGTTTTTATTATCCTGACTTTCCTGCTTTTGTTGGTGAACTTGTTGGGAGGTTTCAAGTAAGTCAAAAGAATCATACATGCCACCATGTACAGAACCTAGCTCCTGGCATTAAATGTACAAATGTCAGATTGGCAGGATGTTTATATGTAATTAAACATAGCAAATGATTAGGGGAGAACTTAGCCATCAAAACGAGATATGTAATTAATTCTTAGTTACATAATAATAAAGAAGCACGTCTGGATTTGATTATGGCATGGAATAAAATATTCTCTAGCTCCTAGGTTTCGTATAAGTTGAACTCTCATACTTGAAAACCAAAAATTCTGTCTCTTGCTTTTTGTTGATTATTAAACATGTTTATTTTTCTCTGAACTCCCGTTGTAAAAATATTTTTTATATGAAAAGGCATTGAATTAATTTTTTTAATGTATTTTAATGTATTGATATAAAAATATATGATTGCTTATATGTTTAAAATTATAATTTAGTGCGTTCTAAAAATATTTTTG